CCTCACATCTGCCTCATTCCTCTCCCGGTCCCCCTGCCTGGATTGGGCAGCCGACTGGGCAGCTCTTAACGTCACCTGCGTGCATAGCACGGAGGCTCACGGAGACTTTGGAGCCCCACTTACAAGTTTCTCAGCTGTCCTGCTTCCCAGCAGCCATGATGGGGGCTACAGGGAAACAGAACGAGACTGCTCAGATCTCAGGGACGGGCGTGCCTCTTCCTCAGAATCACAGACGGGGATGGTGGTTCTCCGTAGTCCCTTTTCTTACATTTCTGTCCCAACTACTTCCTTCGCTGTCTTTCATTTTCTGTTTATTGCATTCAGTCTCTTGTTTCTGTCCTCCTTTTCAGAAAGCAGGGCAAAATGTTACTAGGAAATAGTTGATTTCATTCGAGGCAGCCATCAAGGCCTGGCGACATTCTGCATTTGAGTGCAGATCCCAGGATTTACTGTTTCCTTTGCCAAGGATTGACCTTCCTTCTGGCTGAGGCCAGAAGCCACACTCCCCCTCCCGCTGCTTCTTTGTACCCTTCCTCCTGGTCTAGCCTGGGCAGCTCATACGAATACGCTTTAATGAGAGCGATCACTGAAAAGTCCTCCTGGTGCAGTTAAGACAGGTTAATAATTGTCCTGCCACAATGTGAGGGCATCTATGATGAACGTGAAGTGGATGAAAATGTAAAGCAATCAATGTTTTCCATTTTCTAGTTCATTCATTCATTCTATATCTCAATCTTCCAGTTGAACAGTCAATTCACCAAAGTTCGTTTCTTTTTTTTTTTTCATTTTCTTCCTCTCTTGTTCACATTGGATAATGAAGGAATGAGAGATTGCAAGAGACAATTAGGATAATGAACCACTGATGAATAAAACAGCAGGGAAAAGCAGGAAAAGGACATGTGGAGGGAACATGTGAGGAAGTAGAACATTAGATGACGTATGAGAAAATCAGAACCCCAGGCACGAGATTCATAAGGCAAGAATGTGGAAGTCATATTTCTAGTACAGACAGGGGTTAATCAGTGAATTTAAGAATGATTTTGTGAAGGTCCCGTACCAGTTATCCATCCTACCATATGCCAGTAACAAGCCTAAAGCCTCAGCAACAAGCAGCAGGAACCCTTGCTCCCATCCAAATGTCTGTTGTCAGCTAAGGGCCAATTATGGGGCTAACTGAGCGCGCAGCAGGGTCGGCTGGTTGGCTGGCAATCTGGGCTGGGTTCACCCAGGCACTGCACTTCAGCCAGCTTGCTGTGTGTCTTCTGACATCCCGTGGCCAAAGCAAGCCATGTGGTTGAGCCCAGTGTTCAAGGATGGGGCAGGTCACCCTGCCTGCAGTGCTCAAATTCACATGGCAAGCACAGGGCTAGAGGGAGGGTGAAGAAGGGTGTTGTGATCAAGCCTGAGTATCATACTTAGCAGAAGTTCAAGTATACTTCATCAGCGGCTCTCACGGCTTTCAGTCTGTCCTCTCTCGGCCCTGGGCTGCACCTGAGTACTTGGTCACTGTGTACAGCCCTGAAGGGCACACACACACTGTGTAGCTGGAGGGTCTGGACCTCAGCAAGCAATATGCCAGCAGGGCGCGGACAGCAGGAGCAGTAGCATCTGTGTAGAGACTGTGGAGTCACCCTCACTTTACAGCTTCAGGTTTATGGCCTCTGGGCCCCCAGACCTTTCCCTTCTACATGGGGGGTCTGTTTCTCCTGGAGCTGGTGGAGTCATACTGTGCTCAACCACAGGGTCCTAAGAAAATTAATGACTAGCAGTGAAACAAATGAGTTCTTTCCTACTTTCCTCTCCAACTAAATGAACAACATGAAACATATTTATAAAGCATAGTATCCAGAAAACTCTGTGGTTCCTTCTTCCATAATCTTATCCCTGATCTTATCAACAAGACTGATCCGCATGCTTTTGTAAAATTGGCCGTGATTCCTTCCTTGGGGCTATTATCCTTCCAGGCCAGCCTATAATGGGAGGACTTCAGGTCAGCTTTAAACTGTCTGTAGGTTTCTTTTCTTCACCTCTTGTGATCCTTTTCGTCCTAAGTCACATACTTGGGTTTTTGAACTAATTAAAAATGGCCTATATTCACAAAATGGAATATTTTCTGTCAATAAAAAGAATTGCAGTGCCTACCCACGCTGTAGCATGGATGAGTCTTGAAAACATCATGCTACATGAAATAAATCAGCCACAAAGGACCACACATTGTGCAGCTCTGCTTAAATGAAGTGCCCAGAATAGATAAATCTACAGACAGAAAGTGGATTGGCGGTTTCCTATAGTTGGGGGAGATGGGGAGATGGCGAGGTGGGGAATGAGGGCCGAGAAGAATGGGTTTCTTGTTGGGATAATGAAAATACTCTAAAATGAGTTGGGGGTGATGGATACTCCGTGAACATACTAAAAGCCAGGTAATTGTACCCTTTAAACAGATGCGTTGTTCAGTTTATGAGTTATATCTCAATACACCTGGTTGTTTTTTTTAAAAATCTTTTTGCTTGTCTTTTCAACAAAGACAAAAAGAGGCAAAGCCCAAAAGCCAAGTCCGACACTTAAAAGACATGCGCTCGCTTCTCTGAGGCCTGAGGCCCCCAGCGGGCTCTGGGACAGGGCAGGGGGGTGCAGCGCTCTGCGGCCCAGGGCTGGGGGCAGGCCTAGAGGAGGTGGACCTGAGGCCTGCAGCCCTGGCTCCCCTGCCCATCCCTGTGCTCTGCAGGTGCGGCCGCACCCCCACAGCTGGGCCCTGGGCTGCAGGCGGTGGTAGGGGCACCGGCAGGTGGGAGTGGGAGGGCCTGCTGAGCTGAGGCAGTTGAGGAGGGTCCTAGAAGGCTCTGGTCAGTGGATCCAGGAGCAAACGAAAGGGGGACACTGCCCCTCGTGGAGGTGGAGACAGGCACTGGGCTAAACTGGAGGAAGGAGCCTTACTCCTCCATGTCCGCTCATTCAGGCAACAAATATTTATTACTCACCTACTATGTTCCAGGCACTTTTCCAGGTGCTCAGAAAAAGAAAAAATACTGAAAAAAATCAGACAGTGAACCCTGCCCTCCTGGAGCTCACGTCCTAGTAGGGAGACAGGCGTTAAACCAACAAGAATTACAGTACACAGTGCGTCTGACTGTGGCCACTGCTCTGGAGGAAAGCAAGCGGCGGGTGCAGGGACCCCAGGGCTGGAGGCAAAGGCGATGGGGAATGGAGGGGTCAGAAGAGGCGAGGGATGTGTGGGGAGGGCAGAGGGCACGGCGCTGAGTTTGCAGGCCCTGAAGGCCAGTGTCCTCACATGGGGATGGAGCGCTAGGACCAGTCAGGCCTCAGGGCTGGACTGTTGAGGCAGGGAGAGTGTGTGGTTGGGATATTGTGCCCTTTATATCAGAGGAGGCGTTTTTCATGCTTAGGTCTGGGTCTAGCCTGGGGCAGAGGTGGGCATGGGGCTATCTGTTTCTTCCGTGATGAGTACTTGGTCAAAGTCCTGGCCCAGCACACGAGGCCTGAATCTCTCCCCCAAACCCAGTGCCCCCTCCTGCCAGTACCTTGGGGCCTCTGGCAGGCCACCTGCAGGGCCCTTTCTCCTGCCTGCATCTGTTTCCTGCTTCAGAGCAGTGGGGAGGGAAGGCTGGTGGGGGAGGCGGGCGCTCCGTTCTCAGGAGTGGCTGTCACGGGAGTGCCCTCAGCCACGTGCCTGGAGGATGGATGGGCTGGTCAAACCAATTGTCCATTAGTAACTCCAGATCCATTTTCCAGGTTTACATTCTCAATTCATAAAGGTTTAAAAACTATGGATTTTCATTTTGCTTGTTGCACCTGTAACCTCACCAAGCATCCTCCGGGGCGCGGGTGTCAGCAGCCAGCAGCCAGGCCTGCGAGGTAATGCAGCGCCTCTACTACCCAGATGGGCGCTTGGGGAGCAGGGACATTAAACAGATCAACAACTGCAAATCAATCAGGCCTTGCCCTGGGACACTGACAGGGCTGCTCTGTCCTGTGTTATGGGTGTGTGTGTGTACAGGGGGATGAGAGGAGGGGGTGGAAAATTCTGGAAAATGCCAGAGCTGTTAGCCCTGGTGAGGGCAGAGGAGCCAGGCTCAGACTCTCACTGTGAAAGAATTGGGTCCACCAAGGGGCCAGTCCCTCCTCCCTGCCCTGCCCCCTCACAACCCACTGACCACAGCTCCCCCCAGACCCTCGCTTAGGGTTGCACAGCGGCTGGCATTCTTAGGAAGAACGGAGACAGGTGTTCACGCCTCTGCCCCTTCCCACACTTGCCTACAGCCTTCATGTGCGTGCCCAAGACACACACATCACTAAGTGTTTCCCTAGATGAATGACTTTGGAGGGTTGGGGAGGAGGCCAGAATAACGGTGCATAGAATTATAGAAAACTCGATTCCTTAAGTGTGCTCTGCAGCAGGCCTGTCACACCTGCAAAGGAAGGGTTCCAGGATTAGTTCCTTCAGGAAGAAGAGAGGGAAGCCCAAAAGCCCTTTACAGTCATTTCTAGGGCACGTGGCAGCTGCTCAGGATGCCCAGCCCCACCCCGCCTGGGGCCTGGTCCTCTCACCCTCTGCTCCACCCTTGACCAGGGAATCACTCCGGCCAGTGGAGGACGGGCTGCTCCCTGAATTCACAGGCAGCTTCCTGTGCCCCGGCCTCTGGACCCAGTCCCCGCAGCTCAGTTCTGCGCCAGCCCTCCAGGGCTTTCCGATGGGCATCCTGACTCTACCAGAGTGGCTCGTGGCCTGAGGAGTCGTGGCCAGAATGTCCATTTCCCGGCCTGGCTCCTCGGGGCCCAAGCGGAACCCTGGCCTCTGCCCTGAAGCCCCCTGCCCTCCCTGCAGCAGCTCGGCCTCCAGGGGGAGAGGGGACCTGTGCAGACGCCTCCTCTTTCCCAGAGACACCGTGCAGCCAGGAGCCCTGGGACGGAGCCTCAGCTCTGCTGGCGTGTTCCCGGGGAGCCCCTGTCTTCCTGTCTGTGAAACGGCCCAATACCAACAGGCAGGGCCTCTGTGAGCAGCAAGTGAGCGTCTGTGGGTGGTCCTGGCTTCTGCTCATGCTCAGCGCGCTCACCGCGGAGAGGGGAGGGGAAGCAGAGGGATTTTAAAAGACTTCAAGGTACAAATCTCTTAATTTTCCACAGTGCTGCGGGAGAACAGAGTCACTCAGCACTCGCCAAGCGAACTGAGGCCGGGAGGCGCTGGGGAGGTTCTGGTTCGGAAGGTGGGCGCAAGTCACCCCCAGGTGAGTCCAGAGTGAGGGAAGCAAGTGGTCCCTCGGGTGCTGCTTCCCTGGCCAGGCTCCAAATCGGCCGGTAGGAGACATGGCTCTGGGGCGGCCCCACCCTCCGCCTTTCCGCTCCCCTGGCCCTGGGCCACCCCCTCCCCTGCAGGCGGCCCTCCTGCGCCAGGGGAACTTCAGCTGGAACAGGGAGGAGAGGACAGTGGGAGGACGGCTTCCAGCGGGCCTCCCTCAGGCCGCACCAACCTCTGGGCCCCAGGCTGGTCTGGTTTGGCCCGGCCACTGCGGGAAAGGATTCCGGCGAGAACAAGGGGCTGGGCCTGAATGGCCACCGCCTAGAGCAATCGTCCAAGGCTTTCATGTTCGGGGACCAATTAATTATCCAAACCCCCCGATTTGAAAAGGAGGATGTTTAATCTCCTGTTTTCCCCAGGGTCTCAGCCTTTTGACCCTGCTCCTTGACCCCTGCCCTTCCACCTCACCGTGTTCCCCAGAGGCCCTGCCTTGGTGCAGCAGCTTGGTTTCGTAAACAAGGCTTCCGAGTGGGGGAGGTGAGATGCGGGACGCTGGCGTGGCATCTTTGGACGAAGCAAGCTCTGTTCATGGTGCAACTTAGAGAGCTGAGGAGAAAGGCCCCAGGGCCCGGGAAGTGGTGCTGCCAAGCTGCGCTCACAGGATCTGCCCTGGGACCCTGCTGGGGAGAGGGAGGCCTTCCCTGTCACAGTGCCAGTAAGCGGGGTCATCCTGTGTTTTTTTTCTGAGCATATTATGCAAAGAGGTTGGCCAGCAGCTCCCCTGGCAATGGGCACAGCTGCTGCAGATGCAATAAAGGGTCCCCAAGGGAGATGGTGGGGCTGCATGTGGGAACAGAGGCCCGGCCACTGATTTCTCCAGGCTCTTCAACAACTAGTGTTGAGATAGAAGGTGCCATGTCAGCCTGGGTTCAAATCCCAGTCTTGCTTCTAATTAGCTTTTTGTCCTTGGACAGATCACCTAACTTCTCGTTGCCTCAGTTTCCTCATTCTCAAAATGAGAAGAATAAGAATACCAACCTTTATGGTTTGGTGTGAAAATTAAATATTAGATAATATTTATATTATATATATATGCACGCATATATATATATATATAATAAATTAGATAAACTAAGTAAAGTGTTGGGCTGCTTTGAGGTTTATAGGAGAGTTGGCTAAGTTGACTTTTTCTGTTAAGAGTTTTCCTTCCCAGCAGGTGGCTCCACTTTGTGCTTCATCGTCACCCCTAATCTCCACACACCTGTGTGTCCCTAGGATCCCTAACTTCCAGGCACTTCAACAGGGTTTGTAGCAAGTCTAGGTCTGGATACCATGAGCCAGTGGTTCTCAACCAGGGGTGATTTTGCCCTCTGGGGACATTTGGGAGCACTGCAACTGTGAAGGGGTGCTGCTGGCATCTAGTGGGTAGAGACCAGGGATGCTCCAAACATCCTACAAGGCCCAGGACAAGCATCCGGACAAAGAAGTATCAGGTCCAAAACGTCCATACTGCAGAGGTTCAGAAAGCCTGTTCTGAACAGGCCAAGGTGAGAGTGAGGCCAGGACAGGGAAACAGACCAGGTGCCTGCCTCCCGCCTGTCCCTGAGCTGGGAGAATCTGGATGCTGTCTCCCCCTTCCCCCCAGTTAACCAGACTAGTGGGGGGCAGGGGAAGAGTGTCTACCCTGTGATATTTGCACCCCCCCATTCCCTAAAGTGGTCTATGGAGCAAAAAAAAACCCACGATGCAGATTATGTGTCCTGAGAACCCAGGACAATATGCCTTCATGTAAATCAATAAACAGAAAGCAACTGCTGTGGCACCAATTGCTGAACAAAGCCTCTGAACTAATGCCTGTAATTTGACGTCTTCGGGAAAGTGATAAAAATCTGTCCATGGTGCTGGGTCTTCCTCTGTCTCCCAGGGACACGTCCAGCCTTTCAGCTGTCACGCAGCCACAGCAGCTCCGAGAAGGGAGCCTCCACCTCCCCTATACACCCAGGTCCCCTGTGAGTTAGACCTTTGCTGGGCGTCCATCCTCTCACTGAAGACAAGAACCTAGAAGTGTTTTCTGCTGGGTCCTGGTTACCTTGGTTACGGTCAGGGACAAACCAAACAACAAATCCAAGGGGGCACGGGTGGGGTGGAGCAGAGGAGGGGGCAGAAGAGGAGATTTCTAGCACCTCCATAATTCTTTCCTCAAAATGGTGTCTGAGTAAAAGTGCCTAGCTAGCTAGAGGTCCACCTAACCTCCCTCTTTTCCTCTCTATGTCTTTTTATGTAACTAAATGACATTATTCCTGAAGACATTGCCACAAACAGCTGGACCAAGACCAAACCAAATTGCGATGTTAAGCTTTAAATGCAGCAATTGGGGGAAGAACTAAATGTACAGGAGTACAGTGCATGCTGCTGTCCACGTATTTCCGACCGATGGTCATGATATCTGAAAGTTGACCATCCCTGACCAAGAACAGATTTCATCACTGGAGAAGAAAGGAGTTTGATCATCAGCTTGAAATTGTGTGTGAGACATATGACAGGCAATTAGAATCTTATTTCATTTTTTATTTCTAAAATGGAAAAAAATAATTATTTCAAAAGCCATTTGTCTTTCTTATGGGGTGGGGAGGGGAGGTTCCCCTGAACCACAAGACTCCAGTCATTTAGCATTCTGTTTTAGTGTGTTACAGCATGGACTTAATTATAGCTCCTCTTACCACATGCCGATGAGGCTTGACAAGATGCTGCTAACTCATAATGAGTCAGGGTTAGTAACTAGCAATGTATCGGTCCAATCACCCAACCTCGGCTTCATAGACGAGCGCTGTAATACACTTTGTCTACATCAACATCAAAATAGCCAGTGCTTTTAGCAATAAGTAAATGATGTACAGTCAGCGGGTGCCATAGAAACACATCTTAGGTTGCTGAACTTTTTGTACTTTGACCACTGAAGTCAGTTTTCCTGTGCAAATTCTGGCACCTCTCACTAGCTGTGTGTCCTTGGGCAAGTCACACCACATCTGAGTTTTAGTGTCCTCACATGTAAACTATGAATAATGCTTTAAAAGTTATTCATGGTTTAATAATAGTACTCACTTCATGATGCTATTCTGAGAATTAAAATAGATGATGAATGTAGAGCCCTTCGTAAAGCACCTGGAACATGTTATTGCTGAAGAAAAGTGAGCTGTTGTGTATCACGGTAATAAGGGAGTTCTAATCTGAGTTTCTCCCACCCCCCAGAGATGGGTTGGAGGAGGTTTCCAAGGCACTTTTGCTGAGCTTCTGGTATTTATGAATGATCGCCCTGCCCATCTGCTCAAAGTGAAATCCTGAAGGTGGTAGGTCCAGCTTCCACTGGGCCCTTTAGCAAACGAGAGCAGAACCATGCTTCTAGGAAAACCAGGGCTGCCCACCTGGTCAACAGTCACCAGCTGAAACTCAGGACACGAGTGGACCTGACATGTGTGAGGGTAACTCCCAGAACCTCCACTTCCTTGTCCACAAGGCAGGATGGAGGGCATGAGGTCCCAGAGCCCTACCCAGCTCTGAAAGGGCTGTGGTTTGGAGACCCACAGTCCCAGGACCTGAAAGAAACTGGTGACTGATGCACACCTTCTGTCACCCTGGGGCAGGGATGATATTGTTGGCTTCTGTGAATCCCTCATAGTGCCCATTCCATGCTGCCCAGGGCTCAGGAGATATCTGCTGGTCGATCCATGGGTCAGATTCCCAGTCTCATGGCTCCCAGCTCATTGCTCTTTTAATTTCAAAAAGGTCAATCAATCAATCAATATATTTTCTACAATGCCGCAGTGCCACTGTGCAGTTTGGAAAGAAGTCAGCACCAGCCAGTGGCATTCCCACAATCTGACAGGCAGATAAAGACCTTCACAAGCACACACCCGTACCACACACATGTATGCACACACACATGTGCACTTATACGAGCATGTGTGAACATACACACTACATGCATGTACACACTCAGGAGGATGCAGTGATGCAGGCACAACAGGGTGCTCACTTCTAGGAGGCCACCTCGTGAGCACACACCCTTTGGTGGACTTACAGAGTTCTCCCGAGAAGCTTTGCTAGAATCAAAAATATAGAGGAAAAAAACCCAACCAGAGTGTAATCAGCCAGACGGTGCCAAGAACCCCACCAATCCAGGATGAGCAGGAGTGTGGCCCCCAGACTGTGCCCTGCATGTGTCAAGAAGTGGGGAGCCCCCTACTGTTGGAAGAGAAGACTTCTTGGAAAGATGAACAACAGAGGGAAAAATCCCTAAATAAATATCGGGTGCGGGGGAGTGACCTGGTTTCCGTGTCCCACGGCTTCCTCCCCTGAGACAATATCCCTCTGACCTCAAACTTTCCCCATTTTCCAAGTCAGTGCATTTGAAGGGGCCCATGGGGCTCCCTGATTCTACCCCATCATTGCCTAGCCAGGAAACTGGTGTCAATTTACAGCGGTTCGAATTCATTTCTTTATATCCGCATCCAATCTTATCAAAGGGGCTGCCGTGGAGGGAGGAGACGCTGGTTTTGCCCATCGGGCTTCCGCCTGCCCTCCCCTGTGGGTCTCTCCCCCTCCCACGGGCCCCCATGCCTGAGCAGAGATCCCCTCCTCTCTGAAGTTAATGGTTTTAAGAAGATTTCATTTTATTGTATCTCCAGCAGTCCTGATACTTTACATTTGCCTTCGGAGCCCTGGAATCATCATTTAGGAAACAAAGCTTAACTGGGAGCTTTCAAGAAGGGCTTTATTCCTTTCAATGTTAGCAGGCTAGTAAAAATCAATAATGCCGTGTTCCCATCTGTAGCCCACCTGACATCTCATGAACGGTCAGTGCAGCCTGCTTATGGCTGCTGAAGCTACGGAGAGCGGCGCTGGCCAGCCCAGCCGGATCGCATCGCTTTTCTGCCAGTTTAAAGTCCATTCTTGCCCCGGAAGGTGCTCCTGGGTGACTTCCTTGGGAAG